GGTTCCCGCGTCCAGCTCAGAGCCGCTGGATGCCGGAACACTGCGGCCGCTGAGGTGGTGGAATCCCGTTCGAGTACATACAGCAGGTGCCCCGCGGACACACGCGCCCCCTCAAACAGTTCTCAACGGATTTACACTTTTCCCAAACATTTTTTTTGTATGAGGCAAACAGACCGGCCCAAATATGGGCATCGGCCCTTCTGGCATTGCCCGGTACGCCCGATGGCCAGTCCAGCCCTGCCCCACTCCATTTTTTAAGTCATTTTATGAATCTTTTAGAGAGGAGCTTTTAAACCTGATGAATTGCTCTCTTCAAACGGGGGTCTTTCCTGCAGCCTTCATAGCGGCTGTGGTGAGACCCCTTCTGAAGAAGAGCAATTTAGATTTTAATGATTTTAACAACTACAGACCGGTATCCAACTTACCATTTTTAAGCAAAATTTTAGAAAAAGTTGTTTTTACCCCGCTCAATGCCTTTTTAGATCAGCAACATATTTTAGAGAAATTTCAATCAGGTTTTAGGGTGAACCACAGCACAGAGACTGCTCTTTTAAAGATTTTAAATTATTTTAGACTAAGTTATGATTCTAAAAAGGTGACCGTGTTGGTTCTACTGGATCTAAGCGCTGGTTTTGATACAGTAGACCATACCATTCTTTTATCACGCCTGAAACACCTTGGCCTCTCTGGTGCTGTCTACAAGTGGTTCACCTCCTATTTAACAGACAGATCCTTCATGGTAAGTTTGTATACCTGCTCCTCTCAGGTCCATAAAATCACATGTGTTGTGTACCAGGGTTCCATTTTAGGTCCAGTCCTTTTTAACCTGTACATGCTCTCTCTTGGCGGTGTCATCAGGAGACATGGAATTAACTTCCACAGTTATGCGGATGACACACAGCTGTACATCTCCATGTCTCCATGTCTCCTGATGACACCAGGCCAATGGATGCTCTTTTTAACTGCATTTTAGACCTGAAATCCTGGATGGCAGAAAACTTTCTCCAGCTTAACCAGGACCAAACTCAGGTTTTAGTCATCGGTCCTGAGGCCCAGAGAGAGAAACTTTTACCAAAACTCCAATCACACTCTTTTAATCCATCATCACAAGTTAAAAACCTGGGCGTAATTTTTGACTCTGAGCTGACTTTTATTCCTCACATCAAGAACATCACAAAAATAGGTTTTTATCATTTAAAGAACATCGGCAGAGTCCGCCCCATTCTCTCTCGGGGCAACACAGAGACGCTGATGCATGCTTTTGTCACCAGTCGCATTGACTACTGTAATGCCCTGCTCTCTGGTCTTCCCCCCCCGCACACCCTACAGGAATTACCATACCTCCACCACCGGCCGCTATACATTCACTCTTTTTTTTCCCCCCCAACACCCTTAAAACCCCAATATCATTACCCTATATATACCTTCACCAAAACCTTAAAAAACCTTCAAAACCCATAAACCATCAAATTTAAAACACCAAATCCAATAAACACCATCCAACTTATTACCACCTTCTACTTCCCCCCACACTTTCCACCCTACAACTTCTTCTACTTCCCTCCTCTCCCTCTCCCAAAAAAAAACCACTCTTCACTCCCAACAACTCAACTAAAATCAACGACAAACAACAACCCCCCAAACACCCAAACAAAACAAATCAACCAAACAAAACAACAACCACCTACAACCATCCAAACATATCACTAACCAAAAATAACCCAAAACTATATAACAAAAATACAATACAATAAAAACTACACCCCCCCATATAAACCCCACATTCTTCTCACATCCCCATTCCTCATTATACTCTAATATTGAATCTTTTTAATTCACAATTCCATTCTTTTTATTTATTATTAATAATGATAACCACATTTAAATTATAATACCCATTTTTCCCTTCTTAACATCAACCATTACCCCCCTCTTTCCTATTCATTTCCCAAAAATATTAATCCCAATCCCCCCCCCCCCCATCCCCAAAACACCCATTATTACATAAAACATTATCTATTAGAAAAAATTTTTATTAATATCTATAAGCATCTCTTATTTATATATTTATATATCTTCCTCCCATCTTATAATATTATAAATTACATTACAAACTATTCCCCCCTTATTAACCCTCCACTATAACCCCCCCATTTTCCACCATCCCACATTCTAATCTAAATCCATCCAATAATTAACCCTTCAATCCCCACACATCCCCTTCAATTCTATCCCCCATATACTTTTACATCTTTTTCCCCCATCTTAAAACCAATTCAAACCAATCCAAATATCCCCCCATCCATCTAAACCTCAATACCATCTTCCCTATATAAACAATCCCTTATAATTTTAACACACCCCCAAACACCCCTCCAATCTTTCCCCCTTCCCACAACCCCCACTTACCCCCCAACCATCCCCAACCACCCATCCCTACACCCTTTTCTTCAACCCGTTAACCCCCTCCACCTACCACCCTCACCCATTCACCACCCCACCTCCCCTCACCCATATTTAAACCCCGTTCACAACCCACCATTACCGCCCTTTCCCATCACCCTATTGTATACTTCTTATTAACCAATCCTCATCTTCACAACACCTATCCCAAACCCCCCCTTCCACCCAATATACACACACATACTTATCACATACATAACAATCCATACTATATTTAACATCTCCTAAAGACTCCCATGTCTCCTAACACTAATTCCTCCCTTTGTTGTCCTCTCCCACTTTTTAGTGTCCGATACCACCATGTTATGTTTCCACCCCGTGTAATTCTTGCCCCCCATATTTTCCCACTTGTATAAATTCCCATGGCCACCTACATTCCACAGCACTGCCAACTGTCTTGTTGTTTGGGGTTTGGACAGTAGGTTTTTACGGTGGGGGAGGGGTCATGGGCCGGCGGGATTATTTTTAACCAAACTGTAAAGCACTTTGCGTTGCATCTTTTGTATGAAAAGCGCTTTATAAGTAACATTTGATTGATTGATTGATTGATCACAGGCCACTGCCACTCCAGTGACATACCCATTCGAACGGGGGGATCTGTCCCTGCTGTCGACAGAGGAGCAAGAACAAGTCATACACTCATGAGGAGATATAGTTCTGTGTTTGCAGCCCATGACCAGGATTTGGGCTGTACCAACCTGGTGGAGCACGGCATCCCACTTCTGAGTGGCGTGCCTATAAGGCAGCACTATTGCCGGATCCCACCATACGACTATGAGCTTGTGAAGGAGCACGTCTACAAGCTCTTGGAGGCAGAGGGGATTAGGGAGAGCTCAAGCCCTTACACCTCTCCCATAGTGCTCGTCCGAAAGAAGGACAGCAGGCTCTGTGTCGACTATCGTCGGTTGAACAATAAAACCCGAAAGGAGCGTTTCCATTCCCCCGTATTGAGGAGTCACTGGACGCCCTGACAGGTGCCAAGTGGTTCTACATCATGGTGCTAACGCCACTTAGGCTTCGCTGTGGGTATACTCAAGAAGCCACAGCTTCCCGCCAGAGAGAAATCAATTCTCCAATCACGTGCCAGTCCCATCTATAAATAGCCCTCTACAGCCCGCACCTGCCACTTTGAACTCTGGCGCCATAGAGAGATCTACTCACCATTCTGAAGAATGAAGATGTTGCTGCCTTCTGCTTTCGTCCGAGTTCCACTTCGCCCTCCGGCGTCGGACGAGGAAGTGCAGCGCTTGCCCAGGTAAGCTTATCTAAAAGAAGAGGACAGCGCTTCCCACAGAGTGTGCTTCTTTCTCCCCAGTCAGGAGAGATAGCACCGCGTGGCTCATGCTAGCGCCGCAGAGACTTGCCCAGACTCCCCTCAGGAAGAGGAGTCTGAGGTTCTTTATGTCCATCTCGACCTGCCTCCTGCTCCCAGGCAGTGGGAGATTGTGCTGTGGCGCCCGTGTTGACAAGACTAGGGGTCTCTCGTCACGCGGGAGGAGGCCATTTTGAGGGGAGCGCTGCCTTCAGGGCGTGCTGCTATCTCCCCGGGCAGGAGAGAGAGAGCACGGCGTGGCTCATGCTAGCGCCGCGGAATCTCGCCCAAACTCCTCTCAGGAATAGGAGTCTGAGGTTCATTTGTCCCTCTCGACCTGTCTCCTGCACCCAGGGAGTGCGGAGGCGGGGTAATGGAGTCAGAGTTGTCATAGACGAGGGGTCTCTTGTCACTCGGGAGGAGACCATTCTGAGGAGCGCGCTGCTCACAGGGCATGGTGCTATCTGCCCAGGGAGGAGAGAGAGAGCACCGCGTGGCTCATGCTAGCGCCGCGGAATCTTGCCTAAACTCCTCTCAGGAAGAGGAGTCTGAGGTTCATTTGTCCCTCTTGACCTGTCTCCTGCACCCAGGGAGTGTAGAGGCGGGGTTATTGAGTCCGAGTTGTCAGAGACGAGTGGTCTCTCGTCACTCGGGAGGAGGCCACTCTGAGGAGAGCGCTGCCTACTGAGCGTGCTGCTATCTCACCGGGGAGGAGAGAGAGAGCACCAGGTGACTTATGCTTTACTTGCTGTGAATTTTTGAAGTCTCTTGTTCAAATGAATGGAGCTCTCGCCAGCTGACGCATGCGCAAATGTGTTTTTTACAATTTTCTTGTGGGCGGGACCACTCGCAGCCATTTGGATAGCTCCAGTAGGGCAATTTTTTTGGCCCATTAGTTAGAACGGCGGAGATAGGCGTGACTCTATCCGTTAATATATACAGTCTATGGTCGGGACTCATCTGTCACGCGCAGCTCATCACGAAGGCAGAGCGAGGCATTTGGTCAGGACCCATTTCTCTCGTGCAGCATATCACACAGAGACCCCCGGCCCTTTAGGAAACCCCCCCTCTCCTGTGGAGACACCAGGAGAGTGGGGGGGGGGGGGGGGGGGGGGCACTACGGGCAAGTGTTTCGGGCTCCCCCTCTCACGTGATTATTACCAGGTCTGGAGAGAGCAGGGGCTTCCCTCAGACGCTTGGTTAGAAGGAACATTACGCAGAGGTTATGCCCTGCAGTTCGCCCGGAGGCCACCGAGCAACATGGCCTCCCTCACGGAGCGCTGGACAGCGGCGAGGATCTGACTGGGGGGGGCTGGTCGACGGGCTTGAACAGCGCGACCGGGACCCAAACAAGACCAGAGAGCAGTCTCAGTCCCAGAGGCGCTCTGCTGTTCTCGCGGATCGCTGCTCTCCAGACCCGCTCTCTTCCAGCGAGACCCCGCGGTCCGAAGTGGATCTGCGGAGGTGCTTGGGAGCTGCATTGCCAACGTCATTGCTCATAAAACAGTCATTTTTTTATTTCAAGCAGTATACTTTGTTTTTTTCAGTACAACCTGGGGTTTTAGAATATTCATATTGTAGAGCTGTCATCAATTTTATAAAAATTATGGAATCATGAAGACAAATAAAAAAATGAAACGGAAAATCAATTTCACAAAACCGTATTGAAAAAACACAATGAAATGCTATAAACAACTTTTTACGATGCCTAGAAATGTTATTTGGGTTCTCGGGGATAATGGGGAGAAAAAATTGAACCTGTGACTATTATAATCTTTACAAAATTCCACTGTACTCCTGATGCCCTTCCTGAAGCAGTTTGTCTATAAGGCCGGGGTTTCTTCAGTATCACAGCTGTAAAATACGTAAAACTAAGACAAAAATATAAATAAAACATCTAATTTATATATATAAGTACATTATATACACATAATATAATTTAACTGTATTTATTATTGTCTATATCAATAATGCACACTCCTCTGGCTCCTCTGTGTACTTGCTGCTGCATGGGCAGCAGCGCTCAGAGGAGCCAGAGGAGTGTGAGCCATCCCACTCTCTGACAATCTTTGTGTGATTCCGTGAGTCCAGCATGAGTGAAAAACTTTACAATTGGCCGTTTTCTGGCTCACGGGTCACTGCTCGAAGATCTGATTGGACACTGACTTTCATACACACAACAAGCCGAAGGTATTTCCGTACTGCCTGGGATGTCTTCTTCACGGAGAGAGAAAAAGTAGGTCGCTATCATTTACCGTTCGCGAGTAAATTGATCACTTGTAAAACATGTGCGCACTTGTCGCCGACGACAAGATAGACTTTTAAGGGTTAAGCGAGTTGTCTGCACTGGGAGAGACCTGGGACTCACACACAGCGCAGCACCTTGCTCTGAGCCTGGGGTCACGTGGGCACAGACGACAGACCCACAGAGATTCTGCTTGTGTTCAGTATGACATGTATTCACAGGTAAAAGAACTTGAATCTCACACGTGTGACCAGACCAGACAAGACAAGAGACTTGGTCTGGTCCCGTTGCCAGGGCAACCAGCGCCCTGCCCCCTCTGAGAAGAAGGGAGCGGGAAAAACTAGTCGAGCTACGCACAGCTATTGGTCCAGATGAATCTGGCCATGTTACCATGGAAACCAGTGCTCCCGGGCAACCGCAGCGCAAGTTGCCACGACTATTTCCACATAGCGATAGTGACAGAGCACAGACGCCTCTGCACTTCGCTGGAGGGAAACGTTAATTTTTGCCGTGTCCTGGGAGATGGCCACGTATCAAACGCGCAGGCTTCTGTCACACGTAAAACTTCTGGGCTTTGTAGTGAACAGGGATAAGAGCAGGCTGCAGCCTGCCCTGCGCTTGGTCCACTCGAGGAGTGGGGCCTGGCCCCGCGGATGACTGCAGAGGTCTGGCTGAGATTCGGTCACCAAGTGGTCGACCTATTCGCCAGTGCAGACAACTTTCAACGCCCGCTCTGGTTTGCGCTGCGGGCCACAGACAATCCGCCCCTGGGGGTGGACGCCCTGGCTCATTACCCGTGGCCAGGGGGCTTCTTATATGCGTTTTTCCCCGACGCGCCTCGTATCAATCCTGCAGTGGAGGATCGAGCGGGAGGGTCGGGAGGAGATTCTGGTCGCTCCGGCCAGCCCGCATGCCCGCTGGTTCCCACTCCTGGGGGGCATGGCGGTGATGGAGCCGTGGCCCTTCCCTGACGAGCCTTGGGCACTGGTTAGTATGCTTCACTCGCGCCCGGTTCTGAGCCTCAGACTCTTGGTCTGGAGGCTGAGAGGCGGAACCTTGTAGACCTGGGCCTCCCTCCGTCGGTGGTGGAGACCATTCAGTGTGCGAGGGCCCCTTCCACTATCAGGGCCTAGGGCTGTAGGTGGAAGGTTTTCAATGCCTGGTGCGCCGTACGCTCTTGTCCTGCCCTCTGGAGGGAGTTCTGGGGTTTTCTTCAGGAACCTTTGGAGTAAGGGAGGGCTGCTGGCACCCTGGTGGTGTCTGCAGCAGCCATTGCCTCAGGCCACGGGGGGTTTGGGACCTGCTCAGCCCGCTCCCACCTGCTGGTCAAGCGTTTCCTTCAGGGGGCCCACAGGAAGAGGCCCGTTCTCAGGAGAACGCCCCCACTCCTGGGGGCGGTCCTGAGAGGGTTGTCGGGGCCTCCTTTCAAGCCGGTGGCCCAAGCCAGCCTCGAGTGTGTGGCTGGTGGCCTATGCGCGCTCTCCATTCGTCCAGACTGTCTGACGTTTTGAGCCGAGGATGGTGTGGTAGAGCTTTGGCCGAACCCAGCCTTTCTCCCCAAGGTCGTCACTTTGGCCTTTAGGTCAAGGGTCATCAGGGTCAGACCCTTCTATCCGCCGCCTCATGCCTCGGAGGAAGAGGGGCGGCGGTATCTCTTGTGTCCAATCAGGATGCTGAAATCCTATTTGGCTACAGCTTCTACGGCCCTGCTCCGGGGGGCCTCAGTGGAGGACGTCTGCCAAGCCGCGTCCTGGGCTTCCTCCTCTCCCTTTGCTCAGTCGTATCTGGTTGGCATCTCAGAACGGTCGGTCGCCCATTTCGTTCTGAACGCTGGGATCTAATTCCACAGCGTGGCGTTCTGAGAGAGTCGCCACGCGGCCTATAGTTGTATTCTAGTCCACCCGTCAGGTGCTATTGGTAGAGTCATCCTGGGGTTACGGCCTACTTCCTCTTAGCAAGGTGGTCACCATTCCTCGGGAGCTCTTGGTAGAGGCGTCCTAGGAATGTGTTCTGCCTACTTCTACGGCATTCTTGTCAGAGTAAGGGCGTCCTTGGTAGGAGCGGCCCTAACTCTGATTCCTTTGCTTGTCAGTGTCCCCCAGGCCCCAGGCATCCTTGGGAGGAGCGGCCTCGGACACTGCTCTTCTTCCTTCCTGCCTCAGTCCACTCACCTTGGCGGTGCTGTGGAGATTCAGGCAGGGCTCCAATCACTGTACGCTGGCCTGATGGGAGTACATCTTTCTACGGCTACGCGTGGTACCCACAGCGAAGCCTAAGTGGCGTTAGCACCATGATGTAGAATTGGTAGTTACCTAGTGTGACTTAAGTTCTACGAATGGTGCGTAGCTACTTAGCTACGGGCCCATCAGTCCAGCCTGGCTTTGGCAGAGTTCAAAGTGGCAGGTGCGGGCTGTAGAGGGCTATTTATAGATGGGACTGGCACGTGATTGGAGAATTGATTTTTCTCTGGCGGGAAGCTCGGGCTTCTTGAGTATAACCACAGCGAAGCCTAAGTGGCTACGCACCATTCGTAGAACTTAAGTTACACTAGGTAACTACCATTTCTCCAACATGGATTTGGCCGGTGGCTATAACCAGGTACCTGACAGGGAGGGCGATCGGCAGAAAAACTGCGTTTCGTATGTCGTTTGGGTTATTTGAGTGGAATCGTATGCCTTTCAGGCTCTGCAATGCCCCCAGCACCTTCCAGAGGCTGATGGAGCTCATCTGTGAGGAGGGGGAGGAAGGGGAGGAAGGGGAGCCTTCTCTGTGCAGATCCGCCCTCTCTACTGCAGGTCAGCACCCCAATTTTCACAATCTTCCGAGGTCCGCAATTGGAAATTAGTCCAACGGGCAGCTTGCTTCATCAGTCTCCGTTTGCGCATGTCTTTTGCCCATGGTGCCAACTCACTTGATTGGTGGTAAAACAGCTTCTGAGGTCCGTGTTGAAGGTGCGCCTGCTTTTCCCACAGGGCGTCCCGGTGGGCTTCATAAGCGCTCCTCCTCTTATTTGCCCCTCTTTGCCCTCACGGCTCTGCAGCTGGCCGTTTGCCTCTGCTCTGCGCATCCAGTGACCACTGCTTACAAACCCCGATCTTTCCCCAGCTCCTCTGTGTCTGCACTCTCATGTAGTAGACTCTGCTCCTACAGCATGCCTTCGACTGCAGCAATAGGTATAACCGTGCAGGCTTAATTTCATTAATAAAGTTGCCCGTACATAGTCTTGTAATGTAATCTACTCTGTGTAGCCACGCTGCTTGACCCCAGCCAAGGAGCTGCACAATCCCATGCGCTGTGGCGTGTACCTACAAAGGTAATTATTTTAATAGCAAGTTTATTCATGCCCAGGTCAAGTACTAACCGGGACTTTTATCTAGCTGGTTGTGGTCAGCATTACGCACCGCAAGTGGCGAGGGTCAGCCCGCTCATTCATAGTGGCTGCTCTGAGCGCAGCCTCCTGTTTGGCCTAATGCCAAAGCCAAGAAGTTCTTGCAACTTCTAATTGGTAGGCAATATGTGTTAATGTTGGCGTTTTCCTTTTTGTTGATTATTTAGTTTTTTTTAGGTAACTTTCTAAATTCCTCTTTTTATACAATACAATACAATACACAATACAATTTATTCTTGTATAGCCCTAGGTTACAACAGAAGTCATCTCAGAGGACTTAACAAAACCATTGAAATCACCAACACAGGTCAGAGAATCAACAGTTAAAACACATGAAAAATATAAAGCACACACAGAAGAAAATGTCCATACATGTTGTAGAATGCTAAAGTGTCCTGATCATCACCAATCCTTTCTGTTGGACACTAACAAGACCCTCCTGCATCGACAAGGAAAAAATATTTAAAAACCCAGTGGGAAAAAGTGAGAAACCTTGGGGAGAACTAGGGAAACCCACAGGGAGGGAGACCCATTTGAGAAAGGGATCCGCTCCTCCGGACGGACAGGCCAATGATCTAGGACCTAAGCTAGCTACAGAACGTGGATCAGTGGCCGCTGAACATGGACAGGTCCGGTGCAGGACTGAAGCACTCCCAGGCGGGTCGGGCGGGGCAGTCGGAGGGTGCAGATGGAGGAGGCCAGGCTCAGAGATCCCGTCATCGTACCATGAAACAGACAATGGGTGAATAGCAATGAACAAACTACAGTCAAAATCCTAAAAATGCTAAACAGATAAAGTAGGAAGGAGGAGAGGATAGTGCTCAAGTTACCATACTTCTCCTAGCAAACTGACTCCCTATGCAGCTTGACTGACAGTCGGAGGAGATTAGCCTTCCCTGAGTCTTACCTTCCTAGCCATATGCTAAACTAAAGAGGACTGTTTTAAACCTAGCCTTGAATAAAGAGAGCGTATCTGAAAGGAGGTGAGACAACAGCAGCAGCCACGGCTAGGCTAGTCTAGGTTACAGCACCAAGATTGAATGCAATCTTTTTATAGGAGATTTGTCTCCCTCTGTTTTCTAAATCTGCATCCAGCACTCACGCACTTTAACAAGGGCTGTGTCCTGGCTCTGGGGTGTAAGCTACTTGTGGGAATGTGCAATATAGCAGTAAAGGTGATTTGAGTGTTTGAACAAGTGTGTACGAACAAAGTACAGCAGCCTGTTCCATTTAAATGTAATTAATACAAAATGCAGTAAACTATCTTAATAACACTGTAAAATAAAACCTGTTAAACTTGGTCCCTGCTGCATTCTAATCCATTGGTACTTACCTGTGCGTCCTTATTATATATTACAGCAGTCATTCCAGTCGTGGCGTTGCTCGGTTTATTTCAACACTTGCATATTCTAACTTGTTATAATTAATAACTTATTGCCTAAATCACATAATCACCACCCCTAGGGTGCAACATGTAGTACCTGAAGTATCTGTAGTACCTGCAGAATCTGCAGTGCCTGTAGTCCCTGTTGTGCCTGTAGTACCAAGGACAAGTGAAAATAAATAAACTTTTCACATATTCAAGTTGATAGAAGGTTCAATAAAACATTGATGAATCACTAAATTAAACTAATCCAATAATCCATTAATTGGGATATTCATCACTTGGTCTAGTTACTTTAACATGAGATTGCCTTGGGGGCTGTCCTCTGCCCTGTCGCCAGTAAGGGGTGGTGGTCCTGGGTTCACTGCCTCTGGCCTCCGACACAGTGGGATTATAGGAGAGATTGGATTTTTCACTGACCACTGAATTTATGACGTTATGTAATCTGCTCAGACAAGATTACAACAACTACTACTGACCAATCATAATCCTAACTACTACTGTTACGACTGCTGCTTCTGTTATTACTGCTACTAGTGCTGCTGCTGCTGCTACTACTACTTCAGCTACTGCTGCTTCTACTACTGCTCCAACAAAACATAGGCCAGTTTGGCACAGCTCATGGACAACAAAAAGTGCTGAACAAAGTGCTGACTTGGGTGCCGGTCAGAGTGTAGAGGATTCGTGTCAGAGTGTGGTCATAGTTTGGAGGATTGGAGTTAAGAATGAGAAGGATTCGAGTGCAGAGTGTGGAGCACTCAGGTCGGGGTGTGAAGGACTCAGGTGCAGGTTAGTGTGGAGGACCCGGGTGTTCCGCAGAGTGAGGAGGTCAGTCCTGAAGTGCAAACAAGTTAAAAATAGAATGAGGCCTGCATAAAACATTTCTCAAAAAGCAAAGGGTAAGGAGTGCTGCGTGGTACAAGCGTGTAAAATTATTTAAAAGACCAGGTGCTCAATTGGAAGAGGGGTTTAACTTAGTAACCAAAAATTTAGTTTTGACTTTCCAGGTAAAAAGCAAATGGTGAAGAACTTAGAAAATCAAAAAATCCAAGGCACTCGTGGTCAGTAGTTTAGAACAGTTTAAAAAGCCTTTATTTTCTCATGGCTGTGGATTAAAGTCAACCAACGTGTTTCAGCCTAGCTTGGCCTTCTTCAGGGTGCAAATTGTGGCACCAGTGCCCATGTGATTTATATAGGGAGGGGCTTCATTAGGCCCTCCTCTAAACATGCACTGGTGTATCTACATCAAAAATACAATGCACACAGAAAAAAAGAGAAAAAACCACGTATTTACAATTATATACATTCGCTGGAGGTGTAGAAGCAATATCTGTATCTAGCTTGGCCTTCTTCTTTCCTGTTCGTGGACTTCAGCTCTGCCTTCAACACCATCCTGCCATCCCTGCTCCAGGACAAGCTCTCCCAGCTCAACGTGCCCGATTCCACCTGCAGGTGGATCACTGACTTCCTGACAGACAGGAAGCAGCGAGTGCGTCTGGGGAAGAATGTCTCGGACTCTCTGATTATAAATACAGGAGCCCCACAGGGCTGTGTTCTCTTTCCCCTGCTCTTCTCCCTGTACACCAACCACTGCACCTCCAGCCAGGACTCCGTGAAGCTCTTCAAGTTCGCGGACGACACCACCCTCATCGGACTCATCTCCAACAACGATGAGTCCGCCTACAGGAGGGAGGTGGACCGGCTGGTGTCCTGGTGTAGTGGTAACAACCTGGAGCTGAAATGCCCAGAAGACAGTGGAGATGATTGCGGACTTCAGGAAGAGCACTGTCCACCCGCCCCCACCCTCCGTGATGGACTCCCCCATCACCTCTGTGGAGTCCTTCCGTTTCCTGGGCACCACCATCACCCAGGACCTCAAGTGGGAGCCGACCATCAGCTCCCTCATCAAGAAGGCCCAGCAGAGGATGTACACTTCCTGCAGCAGCTCAGGAAAACCAAGCTGCCTGCACAGATGTTGGTGCAGTTCTACACGGCCATCATCGAGTCCATCCTCACCTCCTCCATCACCGTGTGGTTCGCTGGAGCCACAGTCAGGGACAAACAGAGACTACAGCGCATTGTGCGCTCTGCAGAGAAGGTGATCGGCCGCAGCCTTCCATCACTGCAGGACCTGTACCTCGCCCGAGCTCGAGGCCGGGCTGGTCGTATCACAGCCGACCCCTCCCACCCTGCACATGGACTATTCCAACCACTCCCCTCAGGCAGGAGACTGCGGTCCATCAAGACTAGAACCTCCCGCCATAAGAACAGTTTCTTCCCCTCTGCCGTTGGACTCTTGAACACTTCATAACCTGTCCCCCTGCCCCTTTAAGTCACCTTACTGTCCCCTATCAAATGATTTTACTGCCCATCATAAAGTCACTTTATTGCTGTTGCCTTATTGCACTGCCTCTCTTTATTCAAGGCTAGGTTTAAAACAGTCCTCTTTAGTTTAGCATATGGCTAAGAAGGTAAGACTCAGGGAAGGCTAAACTCCTCAGACTCTCAGTCAAGCTGGATAGGGAGTCAGTTTGCTGGGAGAAGTATGGTAACTTGAGCACTATCCTCTCCTCCTTCCTACTTTACCTGTTTAGCATTATTAGCATTTTTACTGTAGTTTGTTAATTGCTATTCACCCGTTGTCCCATTGTCTGTTTCATGGTACGATGACGGGATCTCTGAGCCTGGCCTCCATCTACACCTGCGGACTGCTCTGCCTGACCCGCCTGGGAGTGCTTCAGTCCTGCACCGGACCTGTCCACGTTCAGCGGCCACTGGTCCACGTTCTGTAGCTAGCTTAGGTCCTGGATCATTAGCCTGTCCGTCCGGAGGAGCGGATCCCTTTCTCAAATGGGTCTCCCTCCCTGTGGGTTTCCCTAGTTCTCCCCAAGGTTTCTCACTTTTTCCCACTAGGTTTTTTAAGAGTTTTTCCTTGTCGATGCAGGAGGGTCTTGTTGGACAGTTAGTGTCCAACAGAAAGGATTGGTGATGATCTAGGACACTTTAGCATTCTACAACATGTATGGACATTTTCTTCTGTGTGTGCTTTATATTGTTCATGTGTTCTAACTGTTGATTCTCTGATCTGTGTTGGTGATTTCAATGGTTTTGTTAAGTCCTCTGAGATGACTTCTTTTGTGACCTAGGGCTATACAAGAATAAATTGTATTGTATTGTATTGTATTGCCTACTGCGCATATTGTCTGCACCATGTGTACTTGCATACTGTACATAGTAACTGTAATCATCCTTTTTTAATTTTATTCCTTAGAAGTGTATGCTGATTTATTATGCCTTACTCTATTCTCTTTTTTCTGACTGTTGCACTGAGCCAAAGCAATTTCCAAGTCTGTGACTTCCTGTTACTTACGTGGCAATACAAATCATTCTGATTCTGATTCTTGCAGCCGTTTTCCAACGGCTGCAAGTCCTAAGTAGCTCTGAAACAGTTGTTGTTTTGTGCTTTACAATTTTTAAAGCATATTTTTTATGCTTTTTTTCTACCTGAGATGTTGCAGGTGAAAATCCACTGGAGGAATGCAAAC